TCTTTTGAAGAAAACTTACTTTTGAAGTCGATGGCATAGCATATTGTGAAGAAGTCACTGTTCTTCAAATATTCGAGTACCGAATTATTATCGTCAATGTAGCCTGCCACAATGGTTATGCTCAACGGTCCATGGAACCCATTTCGTTCCAAGTTGTCCACGAACTTGCTATAGACTAGTGCTGCACCATCACCATTATTCATATCCCTTGGATGAACTCGATCGCTGATAAAAAGATCATTCGGGACACCCGCGTTCTCTATGTCCCACCAATAGTTGGTGGTGTTGGTGGTGGGATCTCCTCCATCTTCTTGAGACTCTCCGTTTTCACTGGGTTCTCCTCCATCTTCTTGAGACTCTCCGTTATCACCATCTTCTGGCTCTCCGTTATCACCATCTTCCGGGTTATCACGCCCTCCTCGGTTGATTGAGTCCTTCACCCTTGATGACTGCCCATATTAAACAATCGTCTCAGTAACCTGGAAACTGAAGAAATGGGTAGTTAAGTATCCATTACCTTATCTGGCCCATTGTCAAGAGCAAGTGTACGACCCATTTTGAAAGCAGAACTCCTGTTATCACCACAATCATGAAAAATAAATCAGTAACACATGATTTAACACCATTTCAGTAAATGAAAAGCAAAGGAAACATATCTTACTCCCTAGTCATTTGTGAAAGTCCCAGGGTAGCTAATTCTTTCATACAGTGAGGCAGCTCAATGCACATCAATGATAATAATGCACAGAAATTGAGCCTCTTTAATATTGCATAAGTACATATAGAATTTGCATTCCGTATTTGGAAGATAAAGATGAAGCGTGAAATGCAACTGATCAGTGATATGAAAAACTTAACATCAAACAATAAAGAAGAAAAGAAACAGACGATGAATAAAATATTTGAACAGGAGACAAAAAATGAACTTAACGAAGATGTTTGTGGTATATTAGATACTTGGTCAGATATTTTATATGATAGATCACAGTTTGAATTTACCAATCTTAAAGATTGGAAGATGGCTTTCGACTTGGCTATTAAAAAAAAACAACCTTCTTGGTTTTTCTAAACTCAAAATTGAGAATGATCACGTCTATAACGGTGCTGGCAACTCATATGCATAAGGTAATGTTTTCAAGGTTCATTTGTTTTGTGTGAATTATTGTAATTTAGTTATGTAATGATTCATTGAGTTATTCATCCCTTAACATGTGCTGAAAACACTCATGTAAATTACTTCATCRTCAACTCAAGTGTCAAAACCCACAAAGTTTCAGCTTCGTTTTCTTTGTACAATKTGTGCTTTGACATGTTTCAGARGCATGATCCGAAGTCT